TAGAAGGTGGACATCAATAAAAGGAGGGGCTTGCACAATGAATCCAGAAAGTCAGCAATCTATGAATAACCCAGAACTGAGTATTTATCTCTTCTGCCACACACCCTCCCTCCCAGCCAGTGAGCAAGATAATTACTCTCAAGTCAAGCTAAATGCCCCCCAGTCACAGTGGCCCAATGCTGACATAGAAAGCATACAAATAATTCTCACTCTGGCATAAAAGTGACAACTTTCTTGGAAGAAAAGCAGATACTGTAAATTTCTCAAAGTCTTCCTAAAACATTTTTTAAAGTAATTTTTACTTCTTTAGAAAAAATGCATACATGGCAAACCATCTGTAATAAAAGGCCCATTCTATAAAATTTTACCTGGTCCTACTCAGATCTGCAATCATAATCATATTTACAGACAAATATATCTATACTAATAAAAGAGTAATATGCTAATTAGACTAGGAGACCTTCCAGGAGACCTTTCAGATGTTCTTCTGGACAAAGCCATGGTGTCGGGGCCGAGGTAGAGGTGGTTAGAGGCCAAGAGGGGAGGGCAGTTGTGGGTGATCAGGCTGGTGGGGGGCGGGGCTGTTGGGGGTAAGCAGACCAGCAGGGAGACAGTTGTGGATGAGCAGGCCAGTGGGGAAGGGAGGTAGGGGCGAGCAGATCAGCAGGGGGGGCCAGTTTGGGGTGATCAGGCTGGCGGGGGGGCATTTGGGGGCAAGCAGGCCGGCAGCGGCGGGGGGGGGCAGTTGGGGGTGGGCAGGCCGGTAGGCAGAGTGGTTAGAGGCAATCAGGCAGGCAGGCAGGCAGGCGAGCGGTTAGGAGCCAGCAGTCCCGGATTGCGAGAGGGATGTCCAACTGCTGGTTTAGACCCGATCCCTGTAAACTGGCAGTAGGACATCCTTTGAGGGGTCCCAAATTGGAGAGGGTGCAGGCCAGGCTGAGGAACACACCCTCCCCTGTGCACAAATTTCGTGCACCGGGCCACTAGTCTATGTAATAAAAGCCTAAGTGACCATTACGGCGGAATGCAGAATGATTGGTCGCTGTGATACGCAATGCAGGAGCTGCCCCCTGGTGGTCAGTGCGCTCCCACAGCGGGGAGTGCTGCTCAGCCAGAAGCCAGGCTCACAGCTGGTGAGTGCAGCTGAGGTGGTGGGAGCCTCTCCTGCCCCCATGGCAGCTAAGGAGCAGCAAGCTGAGTGGTAAGGAGCGAGGGATCCCGGATTGTGAGAGGGATGTCCGACTGCCAGCTTAGGCCCAACTCCCCCCCCCCCCCGACTGCCAGTTTAGGCCCGATCCCCAGAGGGATCGGGTCTAAGCCGGCAGGCGGACATCCCCCGAGTGGTCCCAGACTGTGACAAGGTGCAGGCCGGGCTGAGGGACCCCCTTTGTCCCCAGTGCACGAATTTTGTGCACCGGGCCTCTAGTGAATATATGTTTGGAACTTTTGGCCTTGTTAAGGAATTCTAATGTTATTCTTAGTATGCTAGCAGTTGTTTTTTTAATTGTATATGGAAATTGAATTTTATTGAGTGCTGCTTCTGCATTAATTAGGAGCCCATGTCTCCTTAATGAAGTGAATTATATTAATTTTTTAATGTTAAGCTACCACATTCCTGGACTTAAGTCATACTTAGCCAGGATACACATGCTGACACACTCAGACTCTTTCACATAGTGCTGAATTTGGGTTGCAGGTACTTAGTTAAAGATTTTTGCATTTATGTTTGGTAAGATTGGTTTGTACTTGTTTCATATTATCTTTGCCTAGTTTATTTTATTTTTATTGATTTCAGAGAGGGAGACAGAGATATAGAAAGAGAATTGGCTTCCTCTTGGACACTCCCCACTCGGGACCGAGCCCACAACCTGGGCATGTGCCCTTGACTGGAATTGAACCTGGGACCCTTCAGTCCACAAGCCAACACTATTCACTGAGCCACACCAGCTAGGGCATCTTTGCCTAGTTTTTTATCTTAAATTCATAGCCTTCTAAAAATGGGATTGGAGTGGCTCCTTTTCTGTTCTTTGAAAAAAATTGATATAAAATTCGAATTCTTAATAATTGATCATAAGAATGTTTAGGCCTAATGTTTAATTTGTGGGAAGACTTTAAACTACTAACCCAATTTCTGATAATTGTTATAGGGCCAGTCAGGTTTTCTATTTTTCTGTGAGTCAATTTTGGTAAGTTTATTTCCAGGAGTTTGTTCATTTATTTATTTTCAAAGTAATTGTCATAAAGTTGCTTGTGTCTATGGCATCTTTAATTTTTATCCCTTTCACATTTCTTTTTTTAATTTTGTTTTGTTAAACCTCATCTGAGGATATTTTTTCCATTGCTTTTCAGAGACAGTGGGAAGGGACAGAGAGAGGGAGAAAGAGAGAGAGAGAGAGACATCGATGTGAGACACATGGACTGGTTGCCTCATGCATGCACCCTGACTAAGGACCCACAATCTGGGTATGTGCCCTGACCGAGAATTGAACCCGTCACCAACTGAGCCACACTTGCCAGGGCCCTTTTACATTTCTAATATGTCCCCCTTCTTTTTTTCTTGATCTATCTAACAGATTTATTAATTTTCTAATATTTTTCTTTTTTAAAAGAACCAACTTTTGTCCTTTCTTGATCTCATATATTAGGTGATCCATGGTTTATTTCTTAAGTATATTTTCAAAATGTGTTTATTTAATTTTAAATGATTTGCATTGTGGTCAGAAAGTAAAGAGCATATAATAATAAGCTCCTTGAATTTTATTGTGACTAGCTTTATGAGTGTAGCACAGGGTCAGTTTTAGTAAAAGTCCTATGTATGCAAAAAGTTTTTTTTGATACAGTTTAGATGAAGTGTATTAATTATGTGGTTCAAATCTTCTATATCCTTATTGATTTTTTTGCTGCTTTAATCAGTTACCCTCAGAGATATGTTAACATTATAAATTTGTCAGTTTCTCCTTGTAATTCCATCAATTTTTGTTTCATTTATTTAAAAAGTCCTTTAAAGCATATATAAGTTTAGCATTTATATCTTCTTAGTAATTTCAGCCTGTTAATGTAAAGTGAATGATTTTTATTTCTAGTAATGATTTTTTTAAAAATTTATCTTTATTGTTGAAAGTATTACAGATGTCCCCCCTTTCTCCCCCCATGACCTCCTCCATCCTGCACCTGCCCCTTCTAGGCCTTCACTACACTATTGTCTGTGTCCATGGGCTATACATATATGCATTTAAGTTCCCTGGTTAATCCCCCCCCCTCCCCCCCGTAATGATTTTTGCTTTAGATTTGTCTTGTTTGATATTAATATAATGATGCCAACTGCTTTTAGTTACTGTTTACTATTCTTTACTTTCAAGCTTTTTTGTCCTTATATTTTAGATATATTTCCTGTAAACATCTTAGAACTTCTTTTTTCAGTTTGACAATGTTTGTTTTTTTTAAAAATATATTTTATTGATTTTTTACAGGTAGGAAGGGAGAGGGATAGAGAATTAGAAACATTGATGAGAGAGAAACATCGATCAGCTGCCTCCTGCACACCCCCTACTGGGGATGTGCCCACAACCAAGGTACATGCCCCTGACCAGAATCGAATCTGGGACCTTTCAGTCCACAGGCCGACGCTCTATCCACTGAGCCAAACCGGTTACAGCTTGACAATGTTTTTTAATTAAAAGTTAGTTTACTTACATTTATTGTGATTACCTGTACATTTGAATTAATTTTCACTGTCCATCTTGATTTTTTTGCTATTTGACCTGCTTTTTCTATATTTCTTTTCTCTCTTTTTGGTCTTCTTTAAGATTTTTTTCCTCCTCATTTAATTTTTTTTCGTATCTACTAGCATATACTGAATATCTGTTCTTTTACTGGTTACTCTAGAAATCTAAACAGGTTCATTAACTTATAGCAAACTTTAGTTTAACAATTCAAACTAATTTATACTTTTAATCATTCTCTTGAATTATAAAAGAAACTTGAACATTTGAATTCTGAGGTAGTTCCATTCAAACTTATTTACTCCGTATATGAATTTGGGCAAATTACTTAACCTTCCCTATATGTCAAGTAGATAAAATAGTTTTTACATCAAAGGGTTATTTTGAGAATTAAGTGTTAATATATATAAAACACTCAGGAAAGTGCTAGGCATGTAACATGTCTATATACATGTTGCCTCTATTCTTTTTTTTATTTTCCAGAAGTTGGAAATTAGCATAATTTTACACTGTTAATATTTGCTTCAACTTACACATTTATCATTTTGTTTTGTGCTCAACATTCCTTTGCCATATATTTCCTCTTGGATTATTTTCCTTTTTAAGTTCATCTCCTAGAAGTTGCCTTAGTAAGAGTATAGGGGCAAATGTGTTGTTTGTTTGTCTGAAAGTATCTTTATTTAGTCCTCATTTTTGAAAGATCATTTTATTGGGTATTTTCTTTGAATTCCTCAAAGATTATTCCATTGTTTTCTGGCTTCCATTGGTTCAGTTTAGAAGTTAGCTATAAGTCTAAATATAGGTATAATAGTTTCCTAGGACTGCCTTAGCAGTTTACCGTGTGGTGACGTAAAACAACAGAAATTTATTCTATCACAGCTTTGGAGGCGAGAAGTTAGAAATTAAGGTGTCAACAGGGCCACACTCACACAATAAACACTCATTATATGTTAACTATTGTTATTTTGGCTTCTAAGGATTTCCCTTTCTTACCAACTAAGCAGTGCATTAAAATTTTTTTAAAGCAACATTTTCTGTGTTGTGAAAAGAATGTCATGATAATGAGTTTGATTTTATTTTTGCATGGCAAAACTGATCTTAAAAAGCAGTCCTCCCCTCCCCACTTGGAAATACTTTTTTTTTTTAATGTGCATGTTAAATTTACTAGTATGTTCACACCTAGCATCCGAGTGTCTCGAAGACCATGGGTGGAAGTTGAGGGGCTTATGTTCATCTGATTGGTGGAATTTTAAGTATATCCCTTGTATTCTTTTGCAGGATCTTATGTGCTGACTTGGTCAGTATCTTTCGCTCTGATTATCTGAACTTTGAGTCTATGAAGTTCGGCACTGCCCGGGCTCGCCGCCTCTCCACACCGTCTTCTGTCACCAAACCTCCACACTTCATTCTCACCACGGAGTGGATTTGGTACTGGACTGATGACTTCGGTTCTTGGCAGGAATATGGAAAACAAGTAAGTGTAATAGAAAGCGGGCAAATGTTTCCTCCTTAGGGCTATATAGACAAGCCCTTCTAAGCACAGGCATAAGGATTGTTCTTCGGGTTAGTGAAAAAGCCAGAGATCTCCAGATCTCCTGACTCACCCTGTTTCTGGGGTGGGGGGTAGAAGGGGATTTCGGCAAAACTAGCTAATTTGAAGTTCATTTGTCTGAGGTTTTTTCTTTGAACGATTCAATATCTGTTGGTTCACAAGATCAGAATGAGTAAAAGTTGTAGTGAGATCACGTTTCTTCATTGGTTTTGTTAAACGGGGGTAGAAAGATGCTTCTCTTACTGTTAAACAGGTAACTCTGGAGCGAGTGCATTCTCTCCAGAGACTAGAGGGGGACTAGAGGCCTTTCTCCTTCAGACAGCCCACTCTTAGGGTGCTCCCTTTTTCTTTTCTGTGCCACTACTCTCTCTCTCTCCCCCCCCCCCCCCTCTATGTGTGTGTGTGTGTGTGTGTGTGTGTGTGTGTGTATGTGTGTATATAAATATACACATATACATACATACATACATACATGTACATACATAACACACACTGAGTGGCCAGATTATTATGACCACCCTATCAGTACTTCGTTGGGCCACCTTTTGCCTTCAATACTGCGGCGAGTCTTCTTGGCATTGACTCCACAAGATGTTGAAAGGTGATGCGAGGAATCTGACACCATGCCTGATGAATAGCACTGTCCAGTTCTGTGAGATTTGATGGTTGTGGAACCAACTGCCTGATGGCTCTTTTAATTTCATCCCACAAATGCTCAATTGGATTGAGATCTGGTGATTGTAGGGCCACCTAAGCAAGGTAAAGTCTCCCTCATGTTCTTGAAACCACTCCTGCACAATACAAGCACCGTGGCATGGCGCATTGTCTTGTTGGAAGAAGCCATCTCCATTGGGATACGCCATCAACATGATAGGATGAACTTGATCAGCAACGATACTTAGGTATGTTGTACTATTCAGACGTTGTTCCACATGAATTAAAGGGCCCAAATCATGCCAGGAAAACATGCCTCAAACCATAACATTGATCCCACCAGCTTGAAGGGTTGTACTCATGCATGTGGGGTGCATGCTTTCATGCTGTTTCCGCCAAATTCTCACTCTGCCATCTGCATGATGCAACTGGAAATGAGATTCATCGGACCACATGACTTTTTTCCAATGCTTGACTGTCCAATCCTTATGTTCCTGTGCGATTTGGAGACGTTTTATCTTGGTAACTGCAGACAGCAGAGGTGTTCGAACAGGCCTTCGGCTGTTTTGCTGATACTCACTCCATGGCTCTGAGCGCCAACAATCATCCCACGTGCAAAGGCTGTTAAATTGCGTTGTTTACCCATATCTTCAGAAAAAAGTCACTTCTACTGTGGTAAACAACCTGCTTCCCTATTTATAATGGTCTGGCCCTCTAGCAACTTCAGCGGGAAATTATAGCTAATTTGCTTACAAACGTTAGGTGGTCATAATAATCTGGCCACTCAGTGTATATATAAATAGGTAGGTAGATAGGTAGCTAGCTAGCTAGCTAGATAGGTAGATAGATTTCAGAGAGGAAGGGAGAGATAGAAACATCAATGATAAGAGAGAATCATTGATTGGCTGCCTCCTGCACGCCCCCTCCTGGGGATCGAGCCCGCAACCCAGGCATGTGCCCTTGACTGGAATCGAACCTGGGATCCTTCAGTCCACAGGCCAATGCTCTGTTCACCGAGCCAAACCAGCTAGTGCTGTGCCACTACTCTTTAATGCAGTGTATTCAGAGTGCATAACCTCTTTAGAACAGTGAGAAAGAATCTCTGGAGATGACTATGTAGGTATGATAGACACACTATGTGCGAGTGGGTACAGATGCATGTGTGTGTGTGTTTGGTGATGGTCCACTGCATGGTCTCAGTTTGTACCATCAGCGGGACTACCTCATGAAGTGACCTGTCCATTCTAGCCCTTCCTTTCCCACACACTTCTGGTGTCACCCATATTTGTATTTCTTTCTTGGTTTTGTGCTAATTGCCATTCAAAATAGTTTTCTTGATTCTCAGAAAAGCTAGGTTCTTTTATGCCTGAGCTCAGCATGTACCCCCAAATTTTAGGTCCAAATTGCTTCCATCCTATTAATTTCCTAGAGCTGCCATGACAAAGTACCACAAACTTTAGAATACCAGTGATTTATTATCTCACATATCTGGAGGCTGGAAATTGAAATCAAGGTGTCTATAGGGCAGTGATGGTGAACCTTTTGAGCTTGGCGTGTCAGCATTTTGAAAAACCCTAACTTAACTCTGGTGCCATGCCACATAGAGAATTTTTTTATATTTGCAGCCATAGTAAAACAAAGACTTATATTTTTGATATTTATTTTATATATTTAAATGCCATTTAACAAAGAAAAATCAACCAAAAAAATGAGTTTGTGTGTCACCTCTGACACTCATGTCATAGGTTCGCCATCACTGCTATAGGGCCATGCTTCCTGTATAACCAGTAGGTAATCCTTTCTTGCCTCTTCCTAGCTTCTTGTGGTTTGCCGGCAGTCTTTGGTGTTTCTTGGCTTGTAGATGCATCACTCCAGTCTTCCTTTGTCATCATATGGTGTTCTCCCTGTGTGTCTTCAGATGGCCATCCTCTTGTAAGAATATCAGTCATGTTGCATTAGGGGCCTATCTTAATTAATTACATCTGCAACGATCCTGTTTCTAAGTAAGGTCACATTTTTCAGGTACAGGGGATTAGGGAACACAAACCCATAACCTAATCTTGTATATAAAAGAATTACTGTTCTTTCTTTTTTAAAAAATATTTTTTAAAATTAATTTCAGAATGGAAGGGATAGGGAGAGATAGATACAAACATCAGTGATGAGAGAGAATCGTTGCACGTGCGCCCCCCCCCCCCCACACACACACACACACACTGGGGACAGAACTCACACCCTGGCATATGTCCTGACCGGGAATTGAACCGTGACCTTCTGGTTCATAGGTAGATGCTCAACCACTGAGCCACACTGGCTTGGCAAGAATTATTGTTCTTGGCCCATTGAAGTTTCCTGCATTAAACTCGATGTCCCCGAGGTATTGGACTCCAGCATGCATTACCCTGACCTATATTCTCATTGGATTATTCTCAACAGGCTTCTCTTTTCAACTTACCTTTTTCATTCCCCCCTTTCCTGTGATCTCCTCTGCTTTGATCTACAAGCCCTACTGTTTGTTACCTTCATCCTTTTGTACCTGAACAATCCAACCATCTGACTTGCCAGAACCTGACTTCTATTCCCATTACTGTTTATCTGGTCACTATTCAGGAGTACTTTTAGGAGGTGGAACCCAGCCAGGCACAGATGCTGTCAAGGGGAGAGGGCTTGGGCTAAATCCGATGGCACTTCCAGCCTTTGCCCAGAGTGCTGTCCATTCCTTCCTCACACACCTGGCATTCTTGCTTCTCCTTCATGTCCTTCCTGGGCTTCTTTTCCAGTCCCCTTGGTGAATGTAGGGGTTTTTCAGGGTCTAGCCCACACTCCTGGGAAAACACCATTCTTTCCAGTTGTGTGTTTTCAGGGGTGATCACATAGATTCTTCTGACAGGGGTGCCCACCTCAAGTGAACTCTATGTCTCTGTCTCCAGACCAGATTCTTCAATTACCAGACTTGTGTATCCAGGCACCCACCTGATAGTTCTGCCTACCTTTGCTTTTTTTCCCCAGGCACTGTGCTAAGTGCCCTGAATGTCTTATTTTAATTATTTTCCAGCCCTTTGCGGATGGTATGATACTATTGTAATGATAGGAGTACTATTATTACTCCTGTTACAGAGTTGAGATAATCAAGGCTCAGAGAAGTTAAAATAACTTGCTAAGGTTATAGAGGAAATAGGTTTGGGGCTAGAATTCAAGCTCAGTCTATCCCAAAATCTTAGATATCGTATAGGTACAGTGGGGCCTTGACTTACGAGTTTAATTCGTTCTGTGATGGAGCTCGTAACTCAGATTACTCGTATGTCAAATCAACAGTGAACCAGTGAGACATGTGATGCTGGGCTGATGTTGGCGTTCACTGTGACGTTCGCTGCACCAACTAGTGGTGGGGTATCTGAAGCTGGCTCATAACCCGAATTTTAGCTCGCAACTCAAAGCAAAAAATCGGCCGAGAGACAGCTCGTATCTCGAAAAACTCGTTAGTCGGGACACTCGTAAGTCAAGGCCCCACTGTAATTGGAATGAGAGTGAGAGATCACAATGGATAATTGAAAAAATGGAAGAGCTCTCCAAGGGATCAAAAAAAGAAAACAAGGAGGGCTGTCCTATGACTAAATCAGCAGTTCTCAACCTGTGGGTCGCGACACCTTTGGGGGTCGAACGACCCTTTCACAGGGGTCACCTAAGACCATCGGAGAAAACATATATAATTACATATTGTTTTTGTGATTAATCACTATGCTTTAATTATGTTCAATTTGTAACAATGAAATTGGGAGTCACCACAACATGAGGAACTGTATTAAAGGTCGCGGCATTAGGAAGGTTGAGAACCACTGGACTAAAGGATGGCAGGAACAAGACTAGATGGAAAGGGGGCAGCATTTCTCAGACCATCCAGTCAGGCAGTGTTCGAGGATTCTCTGTTGATGTTTCCCCTTTATTTGAATGCTGTGTAATCCACTGAGTCACTGAATGCTCTCTCCTCCATTGCTCCCATCATGGTTATCCTGGTTAGCAGCACCCATATTTATAATTTATTTTTTCAGGCAACTTTTAGGAAGCAGTTGTGTTGGCTTCTGTTTTGTGCCTCCCTGTCCTGCCATATCCCTGCTCCTTTCATGCCTCCCCCATAATACTCATTCCACTGTCACCAAGTCTGCAACATGACAAGGACAGCACCAATGTCTGTCTTCATTATTGTAGGTTCTTGCCTTCATGAAGTATCTGGTTTTTTGCTTTGCAGGGCATGGAGCATCCCACAACCACCGTCAGCAGCAGCGATTTGGAGAAGGCCTACCTGGCATACTGCACACCAGGATCTGACACCCAGGCAGCCATTCTCAAGTTCCAGGCTGGAAAGCACAAATACGAGTTAGACTTTAGAGGTACTTACTGACTCACTGCCCTCACTCAACTGGGCCTGGTCATCTGCTGGCTGTGTCAGTTCCTAGACGAACTGTTCACACATTGAGGGCCAGGGGTAAAAAGGAAGGGTGATTTCTGCTCTGAAATACTTCCCATATAGAAGGGGAGACAGACCTATAAACAGATGATGCCAGTCCAGCAGAATCAAAGAGAAACTGCCTGAAGAGTGGGTGAGGGGGAGTGGAAGAGGACCCTGAGGAGGGGCTAGGAGCCTAAACAATGGAGGGAGGGACAAGCAGGGTCAGCACTGTGCATTGGTGGTTGTCCTATTGGCCATGGCCAAGTCCCTCTGTGTCCGAGGATAAACCTTAGTCCCCAACAAGTGTCGTAGTGGTTCTGCTATGCAGCTTTGCCTTATACTCCCCAGTGTGGTAACATTAATATCATCTTTTCTATAGGCACCTTCGGCATAGATGGGTTGCCAGGTTAAACACGTGGTAGAAGCATACATTAACTAAAAGGTGCTGGGAAGCATATTTTTTTGTGCTTATGGTGACCTGAAACTGGGCCTTAAATGACTTGTCCCTTTTGCCTTGACAGACGGAAGCAGGCCAAACACTCTTTGGCTAGGTCTTCCAGTGAGCTGGCCAAAGAGTGAGGATTTTTATTTTTAAGTTTTAGTTTTTCTATAACTTCTCTTAAGCCATTTCCAAATGGATTTAAAGTGGGCTTTCTTTTAAACACAGTTGACTGTTTTCTCCATTTTTGTGGACCTTCATTCTGTGTGGAGGGCAACAAAGTGTCTTTAGTGAATTACCCTAAAGCAGGGGTGGGCAAACTTTTTGACTCGAGGGCCACAATGGATTCTTAAACTGGACCGGAGGACCGGAACAAAAGCATGGATGGAGTGTTTGTGTGAACTAATATAAATTCAAAGTAAACATCGTTACATAAAAGGGTACGTACGGTCTTTTTTTTTTTTTTTTTAGTTTTATTCATTTCAAACGGGCCGGATCCGGCCCGGGCCATAGTTTGCCCACGGCTGCCCTAAAGCCACTTTAATTGCCTGTTTTTAGTCAGTTGTTTTTGCTTGGGTTTTGTAGCACTGTTGGTTTTGCTTAAGGTAGAATGGCTGCTGCCTCGATGGGCCCTTACAGGGATCTTAAAGTGTCTACTACTCTTCAGTGAGAGCTGCTTACCAGCCTTAGCATCTGTTGGCAAACACCAACCAATCCAGTCTGGTAAATGCAGGTTCCCAAAAGGGACAGTGAGAGATACGCAAAATATTAAAAGTCAGAACTGCCTTGAAGATCAAGTCTATATAACTATCACCTATCTGGTTGCTGTTGTTTGAAATATTTGTTAAACTATTGGGAATATCAAAACAACTAAACCAAAAATGTCATGCAGCCTTGATCACTCTCAACCTAGGCCATACTTCCAGGGGACAGAACAGAAAGTCAGGTGAGGCTGGATAAGAGCACACACATGCAGTTGACTGCAAACTGCAGGAAAAACATGTTCACCGCAGACTGCTTCAAGCTCACCTTGGTAGACACAGTTTTGTGTTGGTGGTAGATAGCAGTAGCCACAAGAAGCTTGAGATGAGTTAACGTCTCTCCTCACAACCTCACTACTAGGTATAATGAAAGCAAGTTTCAGACCCAAATCTGCCACTCACAGTTATGAACTAAATATTAGGAAGTAAGTACATTTAAACACACAACAAACCAAATGACTTGTTCTGTAGGATTGGGAAAGACTCAGCTGTCCTTTTAGGGACTCTTGTCATAAAAGAGTCACTCAAGGTAATGCCAAGATTCTAGAGGAGAGGCTGAATTCTGACATTTGTTAGCTGGTATCAGTTAGACAGAATCCCCACAGGCAGGGCTTGCTTAGGGACTTAACCTCGTGTATCCTCTTTTAGGGTAAATTCGGAAAAGGCCTCACTTTACCCTGCCCATGGGAGGATAGGGATTGAGTCTCACATACACGTCTTGAATAACTTTTAATTTCACTAGTGAAAAGCCCATTTAAGATTCATCACAATGTTAGTGAACAGGTCAATAAAATTTGTATGTTAATGAACAGAGTAGTGAGAAATTGAACAGTGGATAGCAAAGGGGGTTGTAGTAGCAGAATCTGGATTATGGGCTCCCATTAGAACATGGGGGAACCCCTAGGAGTGCCTGACCTTTTTTTAAAATATATTTTTACTGATTTCAGAGAGGAAGGGAGAGGGAGAAAGAGATAGAAACATCAGTGATGAAAGACAATCATTGATCGGCTCAGGAGTGCCTGATCTTGATGACCTCCTGGGCGGTAGCATTGGGAACACACCCCTCAAGTGCAGTAAGATAAGTTACAGATATATACAAATTAATATTAAAATGCTTTTTAAATGAAAAAAAGTTATTTTTGTACCCTAGGTGCAGAAAGTAAGGCTTGACAAGGTTTTCTTGGTAGGTGGGGACATATAATCTAATTTGTAGGAGGTATTCATGGTTTTTCAACTCAAAGGGTGTTGTCCCTTTCACCCTCAGGATGAATCTCAGGATCTTAGGGATGGGCATGGGACAAGAAATTTGCTGATTAAAAATGGTACGGGCCCTAACCGGTTTGGTTCAGTAGATAGAGCCTCGGCCTGAGGACTGAAGGGTCCCAGGTTCGATTCCGGTCAAGGGCATGTACCTTTGTTGCAGGCACATCCCCGTGGGGGGTGTGCAGGAGGCAGCTGATCGATGTTTCTCTCTTATCGATGTTTCTAACTCTCTATCCCTCTCCCTTCCTCTCTGTAAAAAAATAAATAAATAATGGTACGGGTTTTACAAGGTTGAGAAATACTGTATGCTATAGAGTCAATTTAAGAAAAGTCATAAGAGTAAAATTATTATATTAACTCTAAATCCCACTGGCTCAAGATGTGATAATTGGTCTCAGGCTGGGCTGAAGTTTTTTTTATATCCAGACTGGGAAAAATTGCTGAGCAAAATAATAGTTTAAACAAGATCGGAAGGAACAATTTAAAAGCACTCATATATAATCAATGTGTCAGTTACTAATCATTCATCTATTCATTAAACCCAGTCTCCTAAGGATTGCTATTTATGAATATTTGAAATAGGTAAATATGCCTTATTTTTAACAGACGATTCTGGGGTCTATATGGTTGGATTAGCTTTCAAACCCATTTAATTTGTATATTGAACACTGACGTGTGTGTGTGTGTGTGTTTATTTTTTATTTTGCAGTATTTATTCAGAGAAACCTGGTCTATGGTACATTTAGAAAGGTTTGTCGGAGACCCAAATACGTGTCTCCTCAGGATGTAAAGGTGAAGCAAACCAGGTGAGTGGGGTTGGGGAACTTGTCACTTACGGTGTGTATCAGTTGGGGGGTGTGCTCTGCTAAGAACAAAAACCTTCAGACTGGTTAAAGCATTAAAAAGGTTTGTTGGCTGTGTAACTGAGTGCCCAAGCACTCTCGGTGTCTAAGAATTCTGGGCCTGGCCCTTGATCTTTTGGAGTTTTTGCTATTACAAGTATAACCGCACAAGGATGATCTGGTGTATGTGCCGTTTCATATTTGTGGAGCTGGGTCATCAGATTAGAGTCCTAAACAGTCAGTGCAGGTTCCTCTTCATGAGGTTGAACCATTATGCATTTGTCCCAGAATGCATGAGGTGCCAGTTTCCCTTGGCTTTGCCAACAGAGTGGTGAAGCTTTTAGATCTTTGCCATTTTCATAGGTGGGAAAAGGTATAGTTGTGCATTTTAATTGGCTTTTTCTTATAAGTAAGGCTTACTATTTTTTCCTAACATGTAAGAGCCATTTTCCTATCTCTTTCTATAGACTATTTGTGTTTTTGTCTATTTTTCTGTCAACCTTTTGGTATTTTCCTTAAATAGGAGAATCTTTTTATCTATTAGAGAGATGAACCCTTGCTTTGTTATATATAAATTGTAAATATTTTCTCTTGGTTTATTTCTCTTTTGGATTTGTTTATGAAGTATTTTACCACACAGAAATAGTTATTTTTTATGTATTTATTTTTTAGTTAAATGTATCAGTCTCTTCTAATTGCTTCTGGATTTAGAATTTTGGTCAACTATGACTGCTACCACTTCTGGAAGTCATTTTTGACTCTCCAGAGCCTAATGAAGGCATAGTTTGTCTTTTTCCTAAAGCTAGATCTCTTTTATCATCACTCTTAGTCTTAAGGGGGCCATAAGCAAATGCCACACATCAGAAATAAAAGTGGTTATTTTGCTCAAATTCAGACTACGATATGAATGATTCAGAATCTTCCCTCTCCGTAATCTGAGAGTTGTACATGATGCAGTGACGTGTGGTTCTTCCCTCTAACCTGTTGTCATAACTCCAGCAGGCAAATCTGCTTGAGCCTCCTTGGCCACCTGGGACTCTTAGGGTTGATCACTTTCAGAAACAAGTTCTCTATTTAAAACAGTTAATAGAGTCACAGTTATTTAATGGAAAGTTCAAAATGGCATTTACGCATAAGGTATCTGGTTTAGTTCCTTACTGTCTTTCCATCCTCCATGGAAATGGTTTATTCATGTAATTGGGTCTCATTTTTTCCTTTTTTTTTAGATTTTTTTTGTTTTGTTATTTAATTTTTTCCCTTCCACTAGTTTGGAAGTTATACATTATGTTACTATTTTTTTAAAGGCCACACTAGAAATTACAACACGTGTTCTTCACTTAGGTACAAGTCAGTTAATTTGTTTGCTCTCCTGTTAAATTATATAAGGAGCTTTATATAATTTACTAAGAGTCCCGGTGCACAAAATTTGAGCACTTGCGGGGGAGGGGGGCTGTCCCTTAGCCTGGCCTGTGCCCTCTCACAGTCCAGGAGCCCTTGGGGGACGTCCAATTGACGGCTTGTCCTAAGCCATCAGTTGGACATCGTTAGCGCTGCCGCGGTCTCCCTCCACCACCTCTGCGCTCACCAGCTCTGAGCCCAGCTTCTGGCTGAGCAGTGCTCCCCCTGTGGGAGTGCACTGACCACCAGGGGGCAGCTCCTGCGTTGAGTGTGGTGGTCAGTGTACATCATAGCGACTGGTCATTTTGCCGTTGGGTCGATTTGTATATTAGCCTTTTAAGAGTCTCATGCTCTACCGACTGAGCTAGCCGGGCAATTAGCCTTTTATTATACACAATTCCATTTACTTTTCTCTTGACTTGTTATTTTAAAATTTTTATTTTTTAAAATATATTTTTATTGATTTCAGAGAGGAAGGGAGAGAGGGAGAGAGGGAAAGAAACATCAATGATGAGAGAGAATCATTAATTGGCTGCCCCACATTGGGGATTGAGCCCACAACCTGGGCATGTGCCCTGACTGGGAATCGAACCGTGACCTCCTGGTTCATAGGTCAACGCTTCACCACTGAGCCATGCCAGCTAGGTGACTTATATTATTTTTTAATTTAATGAGGCACTGTTATTTTATACTATGAGCGTTTCATTAAATTTACTCACATTCTTACCATTTTCTTTGTCCTTTCAAATTTCCTTAGATGAAGGTCTGTTGGAAAACTGGCGGGGGTGGGGGGGTTGTTTTGTTTTATTGGGGGAGGGGGTGTTTATTGATTTGTTTTTTAAAATTTATTTTACTTTACCATTTATCATCTGTGTCCTCTTATACCTCCACCCACCCCACCCCACCGAAATCACCTCACTGTTTCCCATGTCCTTGAGCTCTCTCTCTCTTTTTTTCTTTTTTTGCTTACTCCCTCCACACACCAGAGCTGTCTACCCGTTCTCTAGTTATGAGTCTGTCTCTATTTTCTTTTTTAAATCCTCATCTGAGGATATTTTTTCCATTGATTTTTAAAGAGAGTGGGAGGGAGGCAGGAGCAGGAGAGAGAAAGAGAGGGGCATTGATGTGAGAGAGATACATTGATTGGTTGCCTCCTTCATGCACCCCCACTGGGGCTGGGAACCTGCAGCCCAGGTATGTGCCCTTGCCCAGGAATCAAACTTGAGACCCTTCAGTACTCGCACCATCGCTTTAACCATCGAGCCAAACCCATGGGCAAAATTTCCATTGTGTAAATGTACCACAGCTTTTTTATTCACTCATCTACTCGTGGTCACTTGGGCTGCTCCAAATCTTGGCTATTATAAATAATGCTGTAGTGAACATAGGGCTACATATATTATTTTGAATTAGTGTTTCGAGTTTCTTTGGATAAATTTCCAGAAGTGGAATCGCTGGGTCATAAAACAGGTTTGTTTTTTAATTTTTTGAGGTTAACTCCATACTGCTTCCACAGTGGCTGCACCAATCTGCATTCTCACCAACAGTGCACACGAGTTCCCTTTTCTCCACATCCTCACCAACACTTGTTGTTTGTTGATTTATTGATGATAGCCTTTCTGACAGGTCTGAAGTGATATCTCATTGTGGTTTTAATTTGCATTTCTGTGATGATTACTGATGTTGAGCATCTTTTCATATGTCTATTGACCATCTGTATGTCCTCTTTGGAGAAGCATCTGTTCAGGTCTTTTTCCCATTTTTTTGATTGGATTGTTTGGTGTTTTTTGGTGTTGAGTTTTTTTTTATTATAAGTTGTTTATAAATTTTGAATATTAACCCCTTATCAAATGTATCATTGGCAAATATGTTCTCCCATTCAGTGGGTTGTCTTTTCATTTTGTTGATGGTTTTATTTTGCTGTAGGAAAACTGTGTTTTGAATATGTCTTTATTTTGCCCTCAACATTGAAAGGTATTTTCTCTGGGTATAAATTTTTCATTGTAATTGTTTTCTCTCAGAACATTGATGTCATTCCACTGTCCTCTGGTTTTCATGGCTGCTTTTGGGAAATAACTGCCAGTTTAACTGGTACTTCTTTGCCTGAATCACTCTTTTCTTCCCTTTGGTTACTTTTAAGATTTTCTGTTTATCTTGGTATATGGATTCTCACTACAACATGTCTCAGAATGTGTTTTAATTTTCCTGTTGGAGATACTTTGGGCTTCTTAAACCTGTGAGTTGGTGAATCTCATTAGTTCTCTTTGAAGATTGCCTTTACCCTGTTCTCTGTCCTCTCTTTGAATTTCAGTTGGGTTCTGACCAAATTCAGGTCCTCTTACTCTCTTCTCCACATCTCAGGTTCTTCCCAATATTTTCTATCCTCTTACTGCTCTGGGCCATAGTCTGGAGAATTCTATTTCCCATATCATTCAGCTCACTCATTCTCTCTTCAGGTGGTCTGATCTGCTAGTAAGCATGTCCATTGAAGTTTTACTATCAAGGATTGTATTTTATATTTCTAAAAGTTGTATTTGATTCTTTTTCAGATCCTCCAGGTCATATTATAGTTTCCTGTGCCTTGCATATGTTTTTAGTTTGTGTTTTATTTTTTTACATAGAAAGACTAGTTATTTTGTATTATGTTCATTAATTTCAGCAACTTAATTCATTGTGGGCTTATTTCTGACTGATTCTTGCTTATTGCTTAGTTATTTTAAACTGTGCTATTTTCCTAGGCATGTTATTTGTGGGAGTTCTTTGAGGCTTAGGATGAAGGCCTCATGCCAGCAGAAATGGAAGGTAGATCTAGTGTAGGAAGAACAGAGCTTTCTGAAACTGAGTAGCAATGATTTTGAATTGGTTTCCCAGTCCTTGTTCCTAAACCCTTTGGGACACATGTCTTTTATAACTCAGCTTTTTAAAATTTTTATTTTTAGAAATATCATGTGCTGTTTGTATTATGTGACACCCTGTAGTTAATATTTCTGAGTAAAAAATATGCATAGTCACTTTAAGAAAGATATATAGAGACCACAAGCAGCCTCTGGCAGTTCAAGTCAAATTTCTACTACCAAATGAGTTTTGACATCCGTTTTATGTTTTTATATGCCAGATACACCTCTTTGAGGCTATCCTGTGTAATAAAAGTATAGTATGCAAATTGTCCCCTTGACTGGAGTCCTTCTGGGAGTTTGACCAGGGGGCAAGGCTGGCTGGGGGAAGGGAGGGAGGCCCTGGCCAGTGGCAGGTGGCCAGGGGAAGGGAGGGAGTACCCTGCCAGCTGCCGCCAGACGCTAGGGATCCTACCAGTGCACGAATTTCATGCACTGGGCCTCTAGTTTGTAATAATAATTCAGAGCTCTTTAATATAAATTTCAGAGCTCTTTGAGTTTAAAAATCATGGATAATGGTCTGTCTGTGCTGCTTTAATTATATTCTTTCTCTCTGTGTACAGGAGTTGAGATACAGGCGAGTATCCTCATTGTTACAGTTTGAGCCACTTAGGCAAAGAGGAAAGTGCTCTCACAAGATGGATAGTGTGCTTATGTGCTTCCTTTCCTCCCTACTTTTAAAAAGCGAGATGCTGATACTTGAGACAGGTGGTATTGGCTAGTGGAGGCCACCTGTGTGTGATAGTCTGTTGGTGTGTGCAAACCAAATGTCTTAGTGCTTTTGTTTACATTTTGTAGCAATGTCAAGTTTCAAGGCCCAAAGAGTATCCCAGACCATTGGGACCCCTCAGCCCTGCCAGATCCCGGCTTTAAGGTATGGGTCTCGTGTTGTCTTGGACTGGGGAGGAGAGTGTTCTTTGAGATCAGTGAGTGTGAGCGACGTGCTCTTTCCTCCACCACTGAGGAAGCTGTGAGGCCAGGGCTCACGAGGGAGGACAGAAGAGGTATGCGTGTGGTTATTTTTTCAGGTTTTGGGGATTTTAAGGCTAGAGACCACCCAGGAGATGGCTGTGGTCTTGAGGGGAGAGGATGTATTGTGGATGGAGGACAGTGAGCTGGTAAATTTCTAGAAAGGGTAGAAATAAGAGCTGGGCTCAGCCAATATATATTAGTTACATTAAGCAAGAAAAGGAAAAGAAACCACTGACTATGACAAGTGACATCTAGAAGGGAAATTTCTGTTGGAAGGTGCTAGATTATAGAAGACAAGAGAAGGAACACTCAATTCAGCAGCTCCTTTAAGGCCTGTCAGATTTTGGGAATTGCACTGAATTCAGTAGAGTACTCAGGCCAAGATCTGTCCCATGTATGTGGGGCACTCAGACTGGCCTCTGATGGCTAACTTGGTGCCAAGCATGTTGCAGCCAGCTTTTACAACTAATTGTCACTGCCTTGGGAGGACTCATCTTGTTGAGCTGACAAAGCTCACACAGACACCAGTGGCACAGGCAAGACCAGTGACAGGCAGGGTGAGTTGACAGCAGCACTCAGATGTCAGAGGACAAGGCAACCATATTGAGGGGACTAGGGAAGGCTCTACTGGGTCCACATCTGAACGATGGCTGGTGCTTGCACAGGTAGAGGTAGGAGAACATACAGGGTGATGGGAACTGCACGTGAAGCAGCCCAGGTCAGGACATGGGGTGTCAGGTGTATCTTGGATGGAGGGTGTGAACAGACATGGGAAGCAGGAGAGAGGTCAGGGCTGGGCTGTGCAGTGCCTTGATCATGGGTTCGAGCAGAGGTCATGACAAGTATGGGAACCCCTGAGGACCTCTGGTCTGGAAGGAGCAGGGCTGGTTTCCATACTTGAGGAAGAGGAGTTTAGCAGCTCCCATGAGATTGGAACAGGGAAACCAGAGTCAGAATTTGGGTTGCAGGAGACCCATGGACATGCATGCCTAGTCCTGACATGTAGGGTCTTTGGGGGTGATGGTGATGTGGCTATTACAAGGCTGTACATGGGGTAGAGGAAGAAGATGGTATTATAAAGGGACTCCCCAGAGATCCTCATCTGGTCTATCACTGGATCAAACCTCATGGCGCTGGGAACAGGGAGGCTGATTATATGGTCCAGGCTGCAAGTGCAGGAATTTGAGCATTGTCACTCTGACAGTCGCCTGCTCCTGGTCAGGGGCCTCTCTTGGCCCATCAAAGTGCTGTTTTCCCTGAACAAGAGGCTAAGGGAGAGTTGGGCTCAGCTGGGAGGGATGCAGTGGCCATGCTCCTGAGGTGCCACGTGCCCGTCTACCAGCCTGGCCTTTCTGTCGGTGCTTGTGGTGTGGGGCGTTCACACAATGCTGCTGCTCATGACAGCGTTTGCCCCTCTCACCAAATGTATGCCGTCCACATTTATTGACACCAACACTTTGGGCTTGTAGACTATGTAGTCTGCCTTGTGTGGGGTCAGAAGAGCAGGGACATCCTGGGCATACCTAGGATGGTGCTGATGTAAGCGTCATACCTGTCCGTCAGGCAGGTTTCACAGTGAACACAAATAGTACACATTCTGTACCTGGAGAGACTGACTTTCGGGATAAAGGGGAGTGGTAATCACCTTCAGGGCTTGCTTTTACAGTTCTAGCATTTTAGGAGTAGCCTTGGAAAGAGATTGATCTGTACTTTATACTTTGATGATAACATAATAAAAATCTTTGCCCTTGCAGCTGATCACCCTCAGTTCTTTATCAGAAGAATATCAGAAGGTTTGCAATCTTTTTAACAATACGCTGCCCTGCTACTATGTTCAGAAGATCGAGCGAGTCCAGAACCTGGCTCTCTGGGAAGTCTACCAGTGGTACGTCAAGGGCTTGCTCTCGGCAGGCTGATGACTTTGTCCCCTCACACTCGTACATAGTAGGCTAGCTGCTTACCAAATGGGCCCTGGACGTCAGGGACAGTTCCAGATGGCAGCCACTGCTTGACCAGTGCTGCTGGAATTGGGAACTGTGTTCCTGTTTTTTAATTTATCTCATCATCTTTATAGCTTAGTGCTGCATGTCCCCTCAGAGAGACGAGGGGAGAAAGCCAGCACTTGTATTCTGCCTCCCTAAAGATCGACAGGGTGGTCCAGTATAAGCCACCCACACTCTGGAGAACATAAAGCTATTGTCCTGACAGCCAGAGTAGGGGCCTTCTTTTTTGCCTGAAGACCAGCATGTTCTTGGGCAGTTGTCTACGTGAGCTGGGGAGGAGAATCACAGCAGGTCACCATGGCAGGCCTTGGGTTCTGCTGACCTGTCCCCACAAAAGGTTGGAGCAGTCTCATCTGTGCTCTGGGCCAGTGATAAAATCAAGCCTCATGGTGCTGGGAACTTATGGGAGAGGGGACACAGATGACCCCCCAGTGAGCAGCTGTCTCAGGCTCCCTCTGCTAAGCTCCATGAGGAAGCAAGGGGGTAGGCACAAAGCACGTCTGTCTTCCCAAGGCTGGTCTGCTTTGGAGGTTCAATTTGCTGCTGGAGGCCTAAGGCTGTGGTGGGAAAGGCTTCCCTCTGCTTTTCATCCAGGTCCTGTGTTCTACCTTTCCCTCTCTGGCCCATGGCTAGAGTATCATGGACTTGGATCCATATCTCCTGGCCTTGTGACACTTATGATAAAATGTGTTTTCTTGGGTCAGGTGGCATGTATTTGGTGGTAAGTGCTGTCTGTCTCCAGCACACATTTCTCTCCTGTGATTCTAGGCAAAAAGGGCAGATGCAGAAGAGAAATGGAGGGAAGGCGGTGGATGAGAGACAGCTGTTTCATGGCACCAGCACTGGTTTGGTTGACGCCATCTGCCAGCAGAATTTTGATTGGAGGGTCTGTGGTCTTCATGGCACTTCCTATGGCAAAGGTAAGGGTGAGGGCAGCTTGCACCAGCATAATCAGGCCTCGCTGTACTATCCAGGGCTCAGGAAACCGTTTTAAAGCAATTGATGGGGGTGGGGCGGGGGCGCAGTGTAAGCTGATAAGCCAGTTCATACTCAGTGAGGAATGGCCCTGCCATCTGTGGGGATGCCCAGCTGTTGGCACCCTTCCTCTCCTTTGTGTGCAACCAGGAGCCTGACCCAAGGGTTAGCATGGGCAGTCCTGCTTAGGCTGGGGTTTTGCTTCCTTAAGAGATGGGCCTATGTCCCTGTGGAGTGGAGGCCTCGGGAGATGGTGAGCAAGAGTCAGGAGAGGAAGGGTGCCTACCCAACCAACCCTGTGCCTGCACTATTTTGTAAGAGTAGAACTCTGAACACCTCAGATATATGCATGTAAATATGCCATTCTAGCTATTTGGTGAGTTATCTGAGTGTTTTTCTGTCTCTTGGTTATTTTTAAACTTTATTTGGACATAATTTCAAGGAAAGTTGCAAGAATAATACTTTTTAAAGTCCTGGAAAAGTCCTGCATACATTTACCTAGATTCACGTGTTTTAATATTTTGCCATGTTGGCTTTATACCCCCCCCCATTTTTTTTCTGATCCATTTGTAAGTGTGTGACATATGTCATACTCCTTCACCCTTTAACACCTCCTAAGAAAAAGGACATTATCTTCTGTCATCACATGGTTACTAAATTGAAAAAATCTTACAGTGATGTGATAGTATAATCAACAATCCCTGTCCCAGTTCCATCAGTTGTCCACAACTTAGCCTTAGTCCAGCATGATGACTAGGTGTCAGGATGGACGAGAGCCACTGGAAGGTTATAAATCCAAATGTATAGGTGGCAGCTTTCAACTCAAGTTCCCATTGAACAGGGTTCGTAATTGTATGCATTGGGCTGCCGGTGTGGTTCCATGTATGGGATCTTGGTCACTTTCCACTCCAACCTTATGAAGCTGGGCATGACAGCCCCATTTTATAGCTGAGGAAACAGGTTTGGGGGTTAAGTAGTGTTATGCCCAGAGAGCCTTATGATTTGACTGACATAATCAGAATGTGAAAGGAGTTTCCTGTCTGTTTTGTGTCCTCTCTGATGCCCTTCATGGGGAAGGCTGGAGAAAGAGGGAGGATGGAGAACAGGAGCAAGATGTGGTGACAGAGGAGCAGAGGCCATTGGCATTGCCTGGTTGGCAGGATGCTAGAGCCCCTCCTGCCTGGCTGCAGCTGTCCTCCCAGTGCCCAATTAAGCCTGTGCGTGTTTTTGCAGGGAGCTACTTTGCCCGAGATGCTGCATATTCCCACCACTACACCAAACCCGACTCGAAGTGCTACACGATGTTCCTGGCTCGGGTGCTGGTGGGCGAGTTCACCCGAGGCAATGCCTCCTTAGTCCGCCCCCCAGCCAAGGAGGACCAGGGCAACGTTCTCTACGACAGCTGTGTGAACAGCATGTCAGACCCGTCTATCTTCGTGATCTTTGAGAAGCACCAGGTCTATCCAGAGTATGTCATCCAGTACACCTCCAGCAAGCCTCTGGACGGGGCCTCCTCCCTGTTATCCCTGGCATCCTTTTTTGGTATCCGGCAGTGAGCACGAGGATGCATTTCATACCTTTCAGGCTTGTCTTCCTTGAAATAGCTATTTGGGAATTTTTTTTTTTTTTTTATAACAAAAAAGCTTTTAATGAACTGTTTAACATTGATTTTTCAGTGAAGTTACCTTCTTAATCTCTTGCTGATGATAGTTTTTGGTTTTAAGTAATTTTTAAGCTTGATATGGGCTAACCAATAGTGATTGTAGGTGAGATTTTTTACTAGGATAAGTTTTACATTTTACTATTTTTGTTGACTTTGCTACTGATTGGCACCAGGCACAGAGTTTCTAGTTAACTATTTTATGGATTGATTTTAATTTTTATTAATTTCTGTCTATCTCTAGTGATTTGGTTTTTCAGGGTCTTGGTGGCATTATTCAACTTTTTATAGCCTATGTACAGAAAAACCTGTCTTGTGGCCTAGGGAGGTGCAGACATGGTGTCTGTTGCTCTGGTTCTAATCCAGGCAGCTCTTCTGCTGCTTCTCCTGGGCTCTGGCCTTGGAATTGGTCCATATATCACATCGTCAGACACATAGCTACTGTGGGGTGTCATTCAGTCCCTGTGGTTTTCCTTTGTCATGGGCCTAGTGCGTGAATGCCTTTCCCAGCATCTTCTAAGCGCACTGGACATCCTCTGAATATGGGTTTTATATCTTCATGAGATTTGAATACCTGTGCTGCAGATGTCACAATATGGAAATAAAATAATATTTATCTCAAGTGGGTGACGACTGAAGTCCATTGTTCAGCATCGTGTATTGAGTTCCTGCTGGGTACAGGAGCTTTTCTGGGTGTTGGAATATCACAGAGCCCCTGTTATTGGCTTCGGGGGTGCTATGTCTAGTTTATCATGAAGCTGAAGAAGCCCCTTCCACAGCCGTAGGAGGGGCCCCAGCTATATGGTCACATGGTCATACATTTTGGTTAAATTTGCAAGTTACATCTTAGTATTTTTCTTTTCTTTTTCCCATTTCACACAAGTTCCAAGCCCCACAAACCTAGAATCACTGTATGTTGTGGACATGGAGGAGGTGGGTATGTCCTTTGTGTGTCTTCCACACACAGCGGGTTGTGGAGTCTGGTAGACACTGGCTGCCTCTTGTCCAGTGGCAGAGGGCTGGCAGGGAAGCTCCAGGATGTGAGGCTGTCTGCCCCTTCCTGGGTGCTGTACCCATTGGCCCTCCAGGTTCATTCTACAACCACAGTCCTCTCCTGACCTGCACCGTTCTTCCCCTCACCTTCCTAATACAATATGTTCACTCTACACATGATGCCTTCAGTTCAGTTGGTTTGTCCCAGAGAGTGATCTGGAACTTGACACAGGTCAGCTATTCAGACCAGAAGAGAACTGAGTTAAATGGCCAGAAAAATGAAGAAGCAATGACAATACTATCTTTTTCACCAGCAGGACCTAGGTGTATATGTTATGATTTTCAGAACCTCCCAAATATTTCCCCCACATCCTGACTAATCTTGAAATTTCATTCATTGCTTTTTGATTAGGACACTAGTCCTCCTACCGTGTAGGTGGGGGGCCCGAGGGATGTCAGAGAATCATTGAACAGGTGCTTGCCTGCTAAGTCTTTTAAAAAAAAATTTATGTATTGATTTTAGAGAGTTGGGGGGAGGAAGAGAGAAAATAATCTGTCCCACTTATTTATGCAATCATTGGTTGCTTTTTAAAATTGTAAACATTTTTATTGATTTCAGAGAGGAAGGGAGAGGGAGATACAAACATCAGTGATGAAAAAAAATCATTGATCGGCTGCTTCCTGCACATCCCCAGTGGGGATCAAGCCCACAACCCATGCATGGGCCCTGAAATCAAACTGTGACCTCCTGGTTCATAGGTCAATGCTCAACCACTGTGCTGTGCCGGCCAGGCATTGGTTGCTTCTTGTATGTGCCCTGATTGGGGATTGAGCCTGCAACCTTGGTGTATCGGGATGTTGCTCTAATCAGCTGAGCTACCGGGCCAGGGCTGCCTATTAAGTCTTAAATGTAGATATACTGATCCCATGCTTTTTAACCATCTGGCTCCTGGGAGCCAAGGAGTGGGAAGCAGGAATGGTCTTTTGGGGAATTTTAGTGGGAAGGATGGCAAGAGGAACCTGGGATGGGAGAGTATCACATGCTCCAGAAAAGTCATGTGAGCTATGAAGACTGCAGACAACATGGATTGGCTGACCTTTGAGAAAGCAAGTCAGGAAAAGCATCTACATGGACTAGAAATTCAAGAGGAATGGGGGTCCATGAGGCCAGGTTGTAGGGTGGGCATGGGGAAAGCTGTTCCTCCTGTGTGGGCACAGGAGGGAGTGGGCAATGTGATGAGAAGTCAAAATGACCATGACTCAGAATGTTAATGCAAAGAGGTAGTGGGATCCAGGGCAAGTGTGTGTGTAATAGCCAAGAAGTTGTCAGGAGGCCCAGCTGGGATGCAGCTGGAGGGCTTTGTTCAGGACCTGTCAGTGCCATTTCCTGCCCTGTGTTAGCTGGTGCTGGGTGTGAACAGTGGGCTTTAAACAGCCCGGGGATGTGTGAGTCCAGCGATTCTAGCCCATTAGGAAGTTTGACTGCTGTGTTTGGAGATTGTGACCACCTGGATGGAGAAGGGGAGGGAAGCCAACAGAGTTGATGGGCTGGGGTGTCAGGTGTGGACCTGCACCTCAACTAGGGAGCCAGGTGCTCAGCTGGGCCCTTCTGTAGGATGAGGTTCTGTGATGGCCATGGGGGGTCAGGGACTGGGGGAGACAAGTGGGGCCATCAGGGGAGCAAATGGGTCACTGGGAATGGGACTGGATGGTTTTTCCCAGTGAGTCTGAGCCCTGGGCTGGGCATGTCAAAGGGGCTGGGTTCCAGACATGAGCAGGTGATGGGCAGCAAGTGTGTGAGAGGGTTGTGATGGGCTGGTGGGACCTCCTAGAGCAGTGGTCCACAAACTGCGGCTCTTTGGCCCCTTGAGTGTGGCTTGTTCACAAAATACCTACTTCTGCGCATGCGCCACGAAGTTTCAATCGCACTGTACATGCGCGCCCGCATGTGGTATTTTGTGGAAGAGCCACACTCAAGGGGCCAAAGAGCCGCATGTGGCTCGCGAGCCGCAGTTTGCAGACCACTGTCCTAGAGGATGGGCAACAACCAGGGCTGGGGCAGTGCTGGGAAACAAGGCTGCCTTCCTCTCAGGAACTTTCAGGGGAGCCCTTTGGGTGAAGCATGGGGAGCTCTGGGCTGGAGGGAGAAGACTTCACAGCAGAGGCAGCATTTCCAGCCACGGATATGTGGCAACCTATTCTGCCAGCTCACCTGAAACAGTCTGAACTTTCTAAAGGTGGGTCAGCATCTGGGTATCCCATCCATGCTCACAGATTCCTATTATCTATATGGCATTTAGCCTCTTAATGCTGCTCAGAGGTCAGATAGAGGAAAAGGTCTTTGATCTTGGTCAGCCTCCTTGCTTTACAGATGGGAAAACCGAGGCTCAGGGAGGTGGCAAGAGCATGGCTGCTGGTGGGAGATCTGGGATTCAATTTGCAAGTTCTTTGTTGAATTTAAACTTCTCAGCAATACAATAACTACTTTTTACTAACATTCACCTCTGTATTTTAATTGATCAAAATTAAGAAAAGATGATGCTCGTAAAAAGAAAAAGTACACTTTAGCCTCTATCACTTTTATGTACATTGAAACTTAAGAAGTCAGTATTACCCTACCTAGAAATATCAAAGAATAATAAAGCTTTTGAACCACCTTTGAAGTTGAACTTCTGAATGTCATTGCCTTAGTCAAATACTGCAAAGCACCAGAAGCTGAAAAGGCCTATGAGCTGGTACCATCAGGACAGCTCAGCACAATGCCCCTGTGTCGATTCCTTCCATCCTGAGGCCAGGACAAAACCCCAAGTTCTCAGTCATTTTGTCAAGCTACAGTTTCACTTATTTATCAGCAATTCCTTATTGAGAGAGGGGGATCTGTCGTTCAAACACCATTGGCAAAGATAAAACTAAGTGTAACAAACAAACGTTTATTAAACATTTAGGAAATGTTACGGAAATGACCTCTTTTATACTTGTATGCCAGGCACCCTTTAAATTACTTAGGTGACGTTCCCCCCAAATCCGAATTTCCACAAGGGTTTTCTTTGAATTAGAAGGTGCTGTTGTAACTGTGTCAGCGGGAGACAATCTTGATGTAGACACCATTTTTTGGACTTAGGGCAGATTTGGATTCTAGCTGCAGTGGTACCTAAGGTAGAGGAGATTAAAATATTTGTCACAGTTAAACACATCCACAGGAAAACATTCTTGGAACCGGGCCTGAAGCAGGGTTATGGAAATTCGGCTGAGGTCTCAGAGAGTTGAGCCAGGAGCAAGCAATGCAGCCTCCCATCAGGACCCCTCGGACCCAGCAGAGCTGCTTCTCCAGGACTAGGCACTGGGCCCTGCAGCACTGGTGCTTATCCCCCCTTTCCTGTGTTAATAATTCCCATTTATTCTCCCAAGAACCCTGCAAAAGAGGTAGTAGTGGCTCACTTTGCAAATGAAGAAATGAAGGTTCAGAGAGGCCAAGTGACTTGTTCAAGGTCACATGACTAGAAAATAAAGAGCCAAGCCTCAAACTCTTTTCATCTCCATCTCCCTCCCTGTGCCCAGCCAGACACTGAGCAGCCTCTCTGGGAAGGACTTTGGGGAGTTGGGCCTCATGCCGTTCCCTGCTCAAGCGTGCTGTGGTCTGACCTCAGTGCCATACAGAAAGCTTTCCTTATGTCTTACAAGGAAGATCCCTGGTGGGCTGGGGTCTTGGAAGAAACACCAAAGAAATACTTAAGAAGCAGGGTAGCCCCTGGAACCATATGTAAAATGATGGTTCAGTGGCTCACGTGAACCCTTTCGAGGAAAGAAGAGTCACCAGGCCTTACTACTGGGGCCTTGGCAGAATTGTCAGATGTCTTTGAGGATTATAGTTCAGATGGGAGACCAGTTCTATGCCCCAGAAGCAAGATGGTCTAGACCTGTGCTATCCTGTACGGTAGCCACTAGCATTATGTAGCTGTTGAATGCTTGAAATGTGGTTAGTGGAAAAGGGGCTGAATTTTTTATTTGATTTAATCATTAACGTTTAAATAGCCACATGTGGCTAGTAGCTCCTGTATTAGTGCAGGCCTAGACAAACTAGAAACACCATTGGACTTCAAAAAAAGGAGGTCATTTGGGGCTAGCGAAGTCAGGGAGGGCTTCCTGGAGGAGGTGACTCCTGAGGTGGGTCTAGGAATGGGAGAAGCCATGTGAGCAGAACTTCTCAGGAGTCACTTCGGGATTTGAGGCAACACCCAGGAATGTGGAGGATGGGACTAGACTTGGGGTGGAAAGTTGAAGAGAGGACATTCCAGGTCAGGGCAGTAGCCTGAGCAGGTAGAACGCTCTTAGAGTGGGAAGTTGGGGCGGGGAATGTAAAATGGGCTCAGATAAGTTCTCCCCAGATCAGCAGGCTACAGACTCATGGCTGGTTCTTGAGCTGGGAAGTGCCAGGCATAAGCAGTGGTTGGGGACATTGGTCCAGCCACTGTACTGTATGTCAAGATGAAGGGTAATGAGGCAAACCCCAGAAGGAAGTCTTGCACACGTGGAAGACCTAGGGCAGTCAGACCTGCCTTCTTTCTCTGTTCCCTCATCTGCTTTGGCTCAACTCTGTGGTCCCAATTTGTCCCTCCTCTCTCCAGCAGT